TCTTCTGGTTAGACTGAGGTAAGTAGTCCTGGGAGGAAGACCACAGGGGTGAAGTGCCATTCTTATCACACGATACCGTCAACCGAATTCAGCACTGCCGATGCCGGCCTTCATCGCCCGGCTGAGGTCAAGTTTCTCCACAGCAAAGCAACTCTGTCTTCGCTCCTCTTTCTGTACTGCACACTTGGGAAGGGAGTTGCTGTGTGTAGCCCACACGTAAGGAATGGGAATTGTAATCCACCTCTTTGAGCATCTATGTAGAATATTTATGTAAAGTGTCTACATAAATCATTGGGAATTCTTCTGTACAGGAGCTTTCTCTATTCTCATTCATTTATTTATTCAATTATTTATCTATCTCAATACAGATTCATGGGTATTTATTTTGTACTTTGGGTTATAATCCAATAGTACATTATTTATTTTGTGGCTCAAATTGTTCCACCTTTGGCCATTGGGTGCCCTTTCAGTGTCACCTGTGTCCCTCTGACACCCCCCATCATTGTGCGTGTGTGTATGTATTCTGAGCACTCTCTTATTTTCTGACACTATATAAGATGCTCCAGGCTCACCTTATGTATATCCTATTCCAGTCGTAGAACCAGCCGTTTCTCCCAGGAGCGCTGGGTCCTATTTTTGAGAATGGTCATAGAAGCCAAAGTCTGGGTGTGAGGTGTGCTTGTTATTCCCGGGGTGTCATTGCCTCTCGGCCCTTCAGCTGACAGATCCAGGACACGTGTGTGTACACTAACCCCTGCGTACACCAATCTATAAGTGGCTCCACGTGCGTCTGTCTGTGTCTACATTAAGCTAAACGGGCGCTCGCACCGATGTGCCGCCTCTGCTCCAGTGCCGCGGATCATTCCAGCCTTCTCCGCTTGCTTGTCTTGCAAGGGCCCACTTTTCAGGTGACAACAGTGAGGCTCTGAGACGAAAGTGACTAGCTCAGTGTTACACCTCAGCTCAGGAGTGCACAGTAAAGTCCCCGCCCCGTGCCTGTCCTGGCCTGCACCGAAAATGCAACCGCCCTTGACCAGTGGCTGGAGGATGAGGACTGTGTTTGCCTGGTGAGCAGGGGGAGAGTGTGGGGTCCTGCCCAGGCAGCAAGACAGCCCAGGAGGCCCACAGGTCAGGAACTCCCACAGGGGTCACTGAATGCTGGTCAGCCGAGAGTCACAGCTCTGGGGCACCCACATTTCCACTGTCCCATCACCCCCACCAACCTGGCCCAGAAATGTGCCCTCGGCAGGCCTATTGCAGCTGATGCTGGCTGTTCCCTGCCCAAGTCTCTCAGGCCTTAGCAGGCCAGTGCACCCCTGCTGCATCCAGTGGCCAGATGCGGAGGCTCCAGGTCTCTGTCCCTGCCTTCCTCCAAAGCATCACGGCCAGAGGGCCAGGTAACTACCTCTTCGGGAGTAGCCCCATCAGGGGGCTGATGGGATTTGGTCACAAACCCTCTGACTTTCCCACAGTGGGGACACTCCGAGGCCTATGCTAAGCACCCCCGAGCCCTGGCGGCTTGCAGGCTGTCTGCCTTGTTTGACAGCCTCTCCCTTCTTCTTCCTCCCCGCCTACCGGGGCTCACTGGAATTGCCTCCCAAATAAATGACTTACACCACATCATCATCTCGGGGTCTGCTTTGGGGGGACCCCAACCAGGACCCCAACGCCTGAACTATCCCTTTCTGATTTGCTCTCTGGGGATTTGAGGCTGCTTCAGCAACACTGAGCACACATCAGCAGAGGGCGGCTATGGCTCACCCTCCACATCGTCAAGGGAGAGTGGCTATCCGGGCAGAGGCCCGGGATGTCGGGTTTCTGGTGGGCCCAGAGGGGCAGGGGGTGGAGGTGCATGTCTGGAGGTCAGGAGTGGGGTTTAAGCTACTCACGCTGCTGCGTGCTCACACTGGAGAAGTGTTAAGAGTGCAACACGGCCCCTGTGGTCCAGCTGGGGAAGGCTCTAGAAAGGAACAAGGGGAGACCCTGCTTAGCTCTGAGAACCATTTGAAAGCTGTCCTTCCCACCGTGTGAGAGGGGAGGGGACTCCACTTGTCAGCGCAGACAGATGACCCAATGAGAGGCACCGAGGGATGCTGGCGTCTCAGCTTGCACCTGCAGAGAGTCTCCGTGACCGTCTCCACAGAGGCTCCATCCGTCAGTGGAACACTCCTGTGTCCCATGAAGGGCGACAGTCGACTGATAGATCGAGGTGTGCCCATATGGAGCGGCACACTGGCTGTCCCCCCCTCCTGAAGATGAACAGCATTTGTCAGGAAGCTTCCCGTGGGCCTGCAAAAACGCAGCCTCTGACTCATCGACACCTCTGCCACGCTCTTGCCTGTCAGAGGCCACCAGCTGCACGGCCCTGTGCCACCGGCTGCCGGAGCCCTTCACTGCCTGGCTGACCAGCTGAGCTCATGGGGGCCTGGCCTGACCTTTGTGCAGCAATTCCGCACACACACACTGTACACACACATACGTGTATACGTGCATGCAGTTACACCCATCGAGCACACACTAAAACATCCCTCTTGCTTTTCTATACAGTCTTTCTCCTCCACAAGTTGGTCTGTCTGACCAGCCCCACACACTTCGCCCCCCCCCACTCAAGTCCCCTGGCCGCTATCGGGGGGCTGGCACCTGTGTTTGTCCCTGGGGCTCTCCAGAGAGCAGCTCACAGCTCATGTGAAATTCTGGGCGTGTCTTGATTACCACTCTGTCCTTATGAACTGGATTAGAGGGCCCTTAACAGATCATGCCTAGACTCCCCTCTGCTTGTCGGACATGGAGCAACTACCAGCGGAGTCTTAAGAGATAAGTGCAACAGTGATGCCCCAGCCAGGAGCTCAAAAGGTGGTTCTAGGGAGGCTTTCAAAACAATACCCGGCCACAGGCGGAACGATTTCCCTGGCTTTGGACGCTGAACTATGAGCCTCTCGGTGAAATCTTTTCATATCGGGATCAGACCTGGGTAGCTCTTAATCCTTTAATTCTACCAGTTGGCCAGAAGCTAGAATTGGATTTGAAACCTAAGGGAGGGACAGGGGAAAATCAACAGAGGAATTTAAAACTCCTCAAAGTTGGGCCAGCTCCCTCTTTCTGCCCCAGCCCAGCCAGGGATCACGCTGAGGGGGGGAGGGGCAGCTGTGGTAAAGGTCCCAGGCCGGCCAGGGACTCTGGCGACCACCAACCGGAGGGTTGGAGCCAAGCTGGGAGGACAGGAGGGTTTTTTAGCAAGAGAGCCCCTTGCTCATGGGGTAGGGGGCCGTGAGGTCTCCACCCATACTGGCCCCCCAAAAGTATGGATAATGACAATCGTCTTTATGATGGGTGACTGATGCTCCCCTTCCTCTCTGTGAGTGTCTACAGAAGCATCTTTGGAGACTCAATAATCAGGCAAAGTGAAGAGTGTGCCCTGGTCACCCAGCGTGGTCCAGGCAGAGCCCCCGACCTCTAGCCAGACTGCCGCCCCCTCTCCTCCAAACACAACTCCGCAAGACAGCCCCCCCCTGCCTGAACCTGCAGCACATGCCCCCCGGCCCTTGGCAGCCTTGCCCTTTGCAGTGGGGATCCCCAAGAGGTCTCCTTTAGAAAGAGGAGTTGGGGCGAGCAGGGGGAGGGAGTAGGAGGCTGGAGCAGACGTCCCACAGAGAGTCCCTGACCCCAAGAGCCTCACATTGGGGTCACTGAAGTGATGCAGCTCACTGGAACCATCCTAACGCATGTCCTAAAGGCAGGTCAGAGGCCATGGCCACAGCCGTGGGAAAGGCATCTGCTTCAGGGCTTCATCCACCCATTCACTCATTCACTCACTCCTTCACTCATTCTTTCGCTCAGCAGGTGCATAGTAAAGCCTGCTCTGCGGTCGACCCAGGGCTCTGGGCTGGGGGCAGAGCGAGGGACAGCTTTGGTCCCTGCCCTCCAAGAAGCCCAGAGACCAGAGGGGAAACAGAGGCAGGAATTGCCAGTTACAGAGCAGCATGACTGTGCTGGACAGAGGAAAACCCTGGGGCCACAGGAGCCCGGGGGGCGGGGTGGGGGGAGTCAGGCGCAGTCACGACAGGCTTCCGGAAGGAGCCGAGTCATGCCAGTGGAAATAGTCAGCCGTCTCTCCATGTGGGTCTTCTTCCTTCCCATCCAGGAGCGCTGGGGTAGGGCAGGTGACGAAGGAAGTGTGAGAGGGAAGAGGATAAGAACCCATCCCTGAGTCCCCTGTAACAGTAATAAAGCAACAGAATGAAAGATCATTCTTCTGCCCCAGACATTTGAAGCCAGAAACTCAAAAGGGAGGGGCCCAGACAGGAGCTAGGTCCCCAAGCCCAGCATAGAGGGCCCCTGCCCCGAGGAGGACGACAGCAGGTAGAGGGAGGGCTGGCTGGCTGTGGAGGGACAGCCACCCCGGCCAGCAGGGCACAGCACACGACCTGGGGGATGGATGGGGACACGGTACCCAAGGGAGCAACCTGGCCCGTGGACATGGGAGACGCACACAGGGAACCGGCCCTGGAACGGGGTCTCTGGACTCCCAGTCCGGGTACTTCCATGCCTCCATGCAGAGTGTCCGGTGGGAGGAGCCCGAAAAGAGCTGGAAAGGCTTCACACGGTCTACATCCCTTCTTTGCTGCTCCTCCCCATGTCCACAGAGCAAGGCTCCCTCCCAGACACACACACACGCACACACACGGCAGTCTTCCGAGTGAGCAAGGTGGAGGCAGAGACCTGGTGGGAGGGCAGGGGAGATCAAGGGACCCCGCCCTGGATCTCGCCATCTGACGATATGCTAAACGGTCCCAGAGAGTGTTTGGTAAATGGATTTTCTTTTTATGTTGGGGGGGGCTTGGTTGTCCATATTCTTTTGTTGTTGTTGTTGTTGTTGTTGTTGTTGTTGTTTGAGGAGGATTGGCCCTGCACTAACATCTGTTGCCAATCTTTCTCTTTTTCTTTTTTCTCTCCAAAGCCCCAGTACATAGCTGTGTACCATAGTTGTAGAGTTGTAGCTCTTCTATGTGGGATGCCGCCTCAGCATGGCTTGATGAGCGGTGGACCTACTCGTCCATGCCCAGCATCTGAACTACCAAACCCTGGGCCACCGGAGTGGAGCATGAGAACTTAACCACTATGCCACTGGGCTGGCCCCAGATTTTCTTTTAAAAAAAAGGAATAACTTTATTTTTCAAGTTGGATTTTTAGTTGCAAATGACTAAATCCCAATTTAAACTGTAAATAAAAGGATGGAGGGTGGGAAGTTTCCGGTTCCTGAAGAGTCCGGGAGTAAAGCTGGTGTAGCTACAGGTGTAGCTGGATCCAGGTACTCAAGTCCAGCCTCCACCTCCTTACCTCTCTGTGGCTCCACTCTCAGCTTGAGCTCTCCCCGTGCAGCAGGATGGCCTCCTATAGCACCAAATCTGCCTTCTGTCAGCTCAGAAACTTCTCCCACCAGAGGGACAGGTCCGGCCTGGGCCCTCCGAGAGCCCACCATTCAGCACATGGACCACTGCATCCCCACTCACACCACTTACCCCTCCCCAGTCCAGTCCCCCCGACCCCACCCCCATGCACCCATTGGCCCCAGGCCCTGGGGGACCATTTGGGAAAAGGCAGCTGTCCCCCTGTGCTGGTTATTGATTTAATTTCTGTTTACTTCGCTGTAAGCTTAATTTGCTGTGTTAATGGCATTTTAATCCACTTGCCCGTTGCATGGGGCTGATAATACCAAACTTCTATGCTGCAGCAGTGACATTTCTCTGCGTCCCGGGTCTTCGGTGGGTGGGGCCAGGCATCACTCCCCAGAGTGCTCCCCTTCCCTGCCCACGTGACACCCACTGCCAGCCTCTTAGGATGGGAGACATTGCTCCCTGCTCTCTGAGTCTCCAAGAAAGTCCTCCGGAGCAGAGGGTGCCCCGGCTAAGACCCGTCACTGAGCCCAGAGGAAATGAGGCTGCTCGTGTGGGTGAGCCGTGTGGGGCTTCAGGCAGAGAGAATGGCCTCAGGGACCCTGGGGGCTGCCTGGGTCTGACATGGCTCCCTGGTGGGGTCCACTTGAGCAGGGTCTTTGAAATCAAAGACAGTAGCAAGCCAGCCCAATTGAGGGATTCTGGAAAAATTTACCCAAGTCTGACTCCTCCATCCAGGGTCAAACTCTCCGTGAGGTGTGTCTGTGTCCTTCTCCCATATCACCATGCACCCTCACTCAGCGGCAGGTTCTGCCTTTCCCTGGGTCGTCGACATATAAACAGCGTGGCACAGTGGGAGGGCTGGCTCAGCCCTGGGAGGTCTGAGTCGGAATCTAGCACCGCCATCAGTTCCACCTCTGGAGAGTGGGCATCGATATTGGCCAGGCCAGCATCACAGACCTGAGGTGACCGGGGCAATGCTGGGTAAACCCTGAGCCCCGCGCACATGGTGGTCACTGGGGCAGTGAACCAGGAGGGATCCCCACGGGGCAGACTGGACACCTGCCGTGCCCATGGCCCCCAAGGCAGGCCAGAGTGCCGCCTACATTAGGGTCACGGGCTCTGCACCCCAACTCCACCCTCACCAAGCCAGATGCTGGCCCTTGACCCAAAGACAGCCCCTGCAGGTGTCGGCGGGGGTCAGAGGGCAGGCCGCCCCAGCCAACACGGTGTTCCTCTCCAGAGAGTGAGGACCCAGCTGGCACAGCCTCTCTGTGGAGAAGGAGCCGGTGGCCAACAAGCGTCCCAGGCTGGGGACGAGGCCAGGAGACACGCAGGGAGCACAAGGGAAACGGTAATCAAGTCATGAGAGGAGAAGGAGGAGGAAGGCTCTGTGGAGCTCCTGCTGGCTTCCAGGCACTGTGCCAAATGCCCGCCCTGTGTTGTTTTACTGAAGCCTCACAACAACTCTGTTGTTTTTCTCATTGTCTGGAAAAGGTGACTGAGGCCTGGAGGAGGTGAGCAAATTGTCCGGGGTCACGCAGCTAGGCTGCGGCAGAGCCGAGGTTTGCACCCAGGAAGTCTGACCCCAGCCTGTGTTCTTAGATAAACCCCGTGTGCAGAGGCCACAGCAGCAGGGGCCACGGGCCACAGAGGCCGTGGCCCGAGAGGAGAGTGGAGGGAAGTGGTTGGGGACGGCAGGATGGCCGGCCCCGCAGCGCAGGGACAGCACCCAGCGACAGGCGCAGGATGCCGCTGCTGCTGAGCTCGGTTTCCCCTGCCCTGGGGCTCGGGTCCCTTTCCTTGCTTTCCTGTCCTACCCTAAGGGCAGGAAACAGCCCTCCGCCCCTCACACTCTGAAGGAGCCAGGGCCACCTGGACCCCTTCTCCAATTAGTTCTTCCTGTCCCGGCCCTCCTCGTGCAGTGGCCCCACCTCCCCCGGATGCACGTGTCTCCATCTCCCCATTTGGACTGTGGTCCCCTCATTACGGGTGTGTGCGGCTTGCACACACACACACACATGCCAAGACCAGACACCCACCTACTGCCCAGGGACTCAGGACTCTGGCGGGAGGCACCCAGGGACTGAGGACCCAGGCCACCCCTCGTGGTGTTACTGCTCATTGAGAGTCACAAAGCCTGTAATGACCCTGGGCATTGCCCGGGATTAATGGCCAGCAGGATTAACGGCCCTCAGCGACACCCTGCACCATTAGGCACCAGGAAGCCCCAAACCTCAGCGGCTGTTACTTAAGTGGAAGCCATTAGAGAGCTAACAGCAATGTCTAACAAGGAGGGGATCCTCAGGAGAGCTCTCATCTACGCTCATGACCCCGTCAGGCCCGAAGACAAGAACCGCGGCCAAGGCAGGACCACCCCCTTCCGGTCCCCGCCCCTCCCCCATCTTCTGGAGGCTTCTGTTTGGCCTGGAATCACCTTTCCTTTGGAGCCTTCGTGTGTGTGTGTGTGTGTGTGTGTGTGTGTGTGTGTGTGTGTGTCTGTGTGTCTGTGTGTCTGTGTATCTGTGTCTGTCTTTCTGTGGGTGTCTGTGTGTGCGTGTGTCTCTGTGTCTGCGTTCCTGTTTGTGTCTGTGTGTGTGTCTGTGTATCTGTTTGTGTCTGTACACCTGTCTGTGTCTGTGTGTGTGTGTGTCTGTGTGTCTCTGTGTCTGTCTTCCTGTTTGTGTCTGTGGGTGTCTGTGTCTGTCTCTGTGTGTGTGTGTCTGTGTGTCTGTGTATCTGTTTGTGCCTGTGTGTGTCTTTCTGTGGGTGTCTGTGTGTATCTTTGTGTCTCTGTGTCTGTGTCCCTGTTTGTGTCTGTGAGTGTGTCTGTGTATCTGTTTGTGTCTGTGTGTCTTTCTGTGGATGTCTGTGTGTGGTGCACGCGTGTGTAAGGTCTCCTTATCTTACCTCTGAAATGTCAGTGCCTCCTTGCTCTGCCTTGTGAAGGAGCGTCCCCTGCCCCCCGATGGCCAGTCTCCCACCTTGCGTGACCACACTGCATCCAGACTTTCCTCCACTTCCCGTTCCTACTCCAGTTTGCATTTCATCCAACTCTGTATTCCACAAAGGTTTTCTGAGCACTTACAGAGAGCCAGGTCCCCTGCGAGGCCCTGGGATTTGGGGTGACTGAGTCTGAGGAGGTCCCTGCCCTCGTGAAGCTTATAGTCTGGAGCGGGGAGGATACAGAATGACCACTAACGCCAGAGTATAAGGCAAGGGTTTTCCCAAAATCAAACTTTAAAAAAGAGGCAGCTGCCTTGTGCTCGAGTCTTGGCAGAGTCTTCTGTCATATTGCTGGCTCTGCTCTCTGTTACTTTCGGCTTGAACTTGAAGGAAAGACACATCAGTCCTACAGGGCTTCAATCCATGCTGACTTCAGATGCTCATAGAGGTCACCCGATGGAATCAGTAAAAAAACAAAAAAGGCAAAGAAAATAAACGAAACAGTAATAATTATTCCCGGGAGGGGCGTGTGACCTCACAATTGCAGGTACTGGGTGTCATTAGAAAGCAGCCTCTTAAGGGTCACCCAAAAAAGCAACTGGAAAGTGGGTATTTAATGGAGATCACAGATGGCAAATGGTGCTCATGGCTTTGGATACCATTCTTGACGCATCCTTCATGGATTCAGACCGCCTGCGTCCCACAGGTCACGGGAGGCGGGTCCTGAGACAGCGGCCCTGAGAGCGAACGCACCAAGGGTGGAGGTGCATGCAAGAGTTTGGATACAATCGATCCCCGGTATGGAGGACGAAAATGTGTGCCTAAATGAACGTACCTTCTCGTAGAATATGTGACTTCAAATATGGATTGCAACATAATAACTGTTCTAAGGATGATTGAACTGTTTTGACTATATCCTTAAAACTCTATATATGCAAGCAGGACCCCAAAGAAGTTCTCATCTTTTCATTGGGACAATAGGGGGTCTTCTTGTATTCCAATACAAAGGCACAAACAGTAATTACATAACAACTTATTTAACTAAAACAGTGATACGGGGAGCCGAAGAGAAGTGCAGGGTGCTCTGTAAAAATGTACCACTTGAGTTGGCATAGAAGGAAGGGAAGAAATTAATTGGACCCACAGAGGTGACAAGCAGGGGCCCTCCGGGCAGAAAGAACAGCAGGTGCAAAGGCCCTGTGGAGAGGAGTGGGGAAAGGCCCTTCTGTGGGAGGCCAGAGGGTGAGGGGCCAGATCCCAGGGCCTCATGGGGATTCTAGACTCTCCCAGGGGTAAGTGGGAGCCATCCAATGGTCTTACCCCCCAGGGTGGAGCGATCCATTCCCATTTTAAGAGAGCATCAGCAGCTGTTACAATCCTGCCCTGATTATCTGAGCTCTGGGGACCCAGCAACTGGCATTTCCTGCTGTCATTTCCCTCCCTGTTTCACTTAAGTTTTTCCTGAAAACTGGACTTAATTCCTGTGGCCAGGGATCTCCCTCCTTCACAACAGGGCTAGGCAAGCAGCAGATGCTGGAGAAGACTGGACAGGTTCTCGGAATTTGGAGCAAGGGAGGACGCTGCTAGTCTGGAAGGGACGATTTCTCGTTCGTAACCTCCTGATGGACAAGGAACGAAGGACAAAGGCAGCCCAGCTTCCTCCACGGCCCTGCGAAGCCGCCCGGCGCCAGCTTCAGGCAGCAGGTCTGAGCCGGTGGGCTGGCCTGGGTGC